CTATCTGAGTCTCGCATATGGAAGGCAGGAACCCAAACACTTGGATCGACTTCTGCTGCTTTTCTCGGCTCATAAACGGGGAGCTGGATCAGAAGTGGAACAGCTAGGATATGAACCAGCACCAAATGGAATGCCAACATTACAGACGATGGCTTAACTTGCTATACCACAATTCACAACACCATTCCCTAAAATGAGAATTTTAAAAACATTTTAGAAACGTAGTTAAAAGTACCTGTCACAAGTCCGTCACATGCTAACATAACCAAATTTCAATGAAAAATTACACTTTCCAAAGCAAAGGTTTCATGAGAAGAATGGCATTATTTTATATTTTCTGCAAATCACCTTAATGTCTGGCTAAAGTGAAGACAACTGGAGTCACCTCATGCCATCTTCATTCAAGCCATCTCAGTATCACATGTCACACAGCTTCTGCAAAACACCATACTTGCATCTGAATTGGGGGAAATACAAATCATGCTTTAGGCTTATTATTCAGCTTTGACTTTGCAGTTACCTGCAAGGCTTAGGGGACACTGAGAAGTGCACCTTATAAGAAACTGTACCTTCCTATGCTAACAATAGGGGGCACTGTTGAACTAGCCATTTATGGCACCATTCTCAGTCCAATACATGAATAAACCAGATAGATTAAATTGATACAACGTTTCTTTAAGAAAATACAAAGTGAGAACCAAAATAGCTCAAATGAGGACCATTTCCACATCATTTGCAGAAAAAAAGCTACAGAGAAGCAAAAGGAAATTAGCCATATATATATGTTAATATATATAATATATATTAATATATAATATATTATATATTAATATATTAATATTAATATTAATATATTATATATTATATATAATTATATATTTATATAATATATTTATATTATATATTATATTTATATATTATATATAATTATATATATTTATATATATATTTAATAATATATATATAATTACAATTAATATAATTATATATTATATATAATAATATATAATATTATATATAATATAATATAATATATATTATAATATATATATTATATATAATAATATATAATATTATATATTATATTATATATATATTAAACTCAATTGTCCAGAAATAAATATTTGAGGATATGAAAAATTAGCTTGAAATAGCAATTTGAGGACCTGGTGCGAAGGCTCAACTGGCTAATCTTTTCCGTTCAGCATCTGGGATCCCATATGTGTTGGGGGCACTGACAGTTTCCTGCCCTGTGATTGGCCCTTTGCCTTGATTGGTGTGCCTTGGGTATCTGTAAGCTGATTGGACAGGTTTGACAGTTAAGTGGGGGGCTTGGCGAGGGAGGGGCCAGAGCGTAACCGTCATAACGGTCATAACGGACGTAACGGAGTTAACGGTCACAACGAAAGATTGGAATAAAGCGCCTTGGAGACTCTCTCAAGTGTCGGGTGATTTCTTCCGTGGGACGGGAGGATCCCGATAACTGGTACCGTGATTCGGATAGAAGATACGTATGGGCTCTGGTTCCTGTCCCAGCTGTTTCTCTTCCTATCCAGCTCCTTGCCTGGGGACTGCAAAAGCAGTCGAGGACAGCCCAAAGCCTTGGGACCCTTCACCCAGTGGGAGACCTGGAAGAAGCTCCTGGCTCCTGGCTTTGGATCAGTTCAACTCTGGGTGTTGTGGCCACTTGGGGAGTGAACAAGTAGACAGAGGATCTTTCTTTTTGTCTTTGCTTTTCTCTGTAAATCTTTCTTTCCAATAAAGACAAATAAATCTTCAAAAAAGAAGAAATAGCAAATCAAATTAAAACTAAAAATGGGGCCCGGCACAGTGACTTAATGACTAGAGTCCTCACCTTGAACGCGCTGGGATCCCATATGGGCGGTGGTCCCGATCCTGGCAGCCTCACTTCCCATCCAGCTCCTTGCTTGTGGCCTGGAAAAGCAGTAGAGGACAGGCCTTGGGCTGTTGGGATCCTGCACCTGCGTGAGAGACCTGCATAAAACTTCTGGCTCCTGCCTTCAGATCGGCTCAGCTCCAGCCGTTGCAGTCACTTGGGGAGTGAATCTTCGGATGAGAGATCTTCTTCTCTGTCTCTGCTCCTTTCTGTATATCTGACTTTGCAATAAAAATAGATATATCGTAAAAAAAACCAAAAATTATATCCTCTTCTTCCTTCATAGGAATAAATGAGTTCATTGAAATCATGGAAAAGGGCCTGGTGTGATAGCGTAGTGGCTAAAGTCCTCACCTTGAATGTGCCGGGATCCCATATGGGCGCCAGTTCATATCCCGGCAACTCCACTTCTCATTCAGCTTCCTGCTTGTGGCCTGGGAAAGCAGTCAAGAACGGCCCAAAGCCTTGGAATCCTGCATCCGCGTGGGAGACCCGGAAGAAGCTCCTGGCTCCTGGCTTCGGATTGGCTCTGTTCCAACCATTGTGATCACTTGGGGAGTGAACCATTGGGCAGAAGATCTTCCTCTCTGTCTCTCCCCCTCTCTGTATATCTGTCTTTCCAATAAAAATACATAAATCTTAAAAAAAAAGAAAAGAAAAGAAAAAAGAAATCATGGGAAAATAAAGAGGTCAATTATTTTGGAAACAAAGATTCAATCATGTGACCAAGGCAGAATAAAATCAGAAGGAAGTATAGTGGATACAGCATTGGAGACAGTGGGAAAACCAAGAGGGTGAAAGTTAAATAACTGAAGAGAAAAGTATTGGGAAGAAAAGTTTCCCTTCTACCAACTCAAGTCTAACTGGCTGGGGACCTGCATAGAAAATGGCTACAAACAGGGGCCAGCGCAGTGGCCAAACAAGCTAATCTTCCAACTTGCAAGGATGGCATTCCATATCTGCATGGGTTCTAGTCCACACTGCTCCACTTCTGGCCCAGTTTTCTGCCTGATGCCCTAGGAAAGCAATAGAGGATGGTCCAAGCCTCTCGGACCCTGCACCATTGTGGTAGGTTTGGAAGACATTCCTAGCTCCTGGCTTCTGCTAGGCTCAGCTCTGACTGTTGGAGCCACTTGGAGAGCAAAGCATCAGATGGAAAATCTTCTCTCTCTCTCTTTCTCTACTTCTTTCTTTTTTCTCTCTCTTTTTCTGTCTTTCCTTCTTTGTTAAAAGATTTACTGATTTTTATTGGAAAGGCACATTTATGGAGAGACAAAGACATGGAGAGAAATATTTTGTATTCACTGGTTCACTCCTCAGATAGCCACAATGGCTGGAGCTGGGCCGATCTGAAGCCAGAAGCCAGGAGCTGTTTCCGGGTCTCCCATGTGGGTGCTGGGTCTCAAGGCTTTTAGGCCATCCTCCATTGCTTTTGCAGGCCCCAGGCAGGGAGCTTGATGGGAGGTGGAGCAGCTGTGACATGAACCAACACAACATCAACACCAATTTACAACATTATGGAATTAATTGACATGGCATTGAGTAATCAATATGTTAAAAAAATCCAAGTTCTTAACCACATCTTGTGACTACTTCATTGACATTTCTATTTTAGTTTATACACAGAACCGAGTGCTATACACCTTAAAATGGCTATAGGGTACTATTCAGCTGTCTCGTGTCTATTTTCATTTTAGTATTCAGCCGTTTATAGTGTTGAAGCATAATTTTGCTGAACTTGGCAGATTTTAGGATAAGTCTAAACTGGCTTATAACTCTAACAAGGCATTTGTCAACAGTTGAGGTGCAGAACAGTTTAAGGAGGGGTGTGCAGAGAAATCTTCACTTCCCTAGTGAGGAGTAACTAATCTTTGTGTCCTACCTAGTAAGGTATATATGGACCTGTGCTGACTGTTTCCTTTCTGGTTCTAAGCTTTCCTTGTTGTTCTCTGTCTATCTATTCTAATTTTTTGTTTGTTTGTTTGTTTGCTTTTTTTTGAGGGGTGGGGAGCTCCGGAGTGACCCCCCGATGGTCATTGCAAGAGAGGGTGGGGATCCAAGTTGGAGCTAAGCAAGGACCAGAGGAAGCTCCTCTCCCTAGTCCTGAAGGAAGTTTATTGTCCTTTTGTTTCTGAGGACCGCTAAGTGCTCCTGGCTGTTGTTCCAATGACCTTGGATCCTGTGAGGAAGGATTTGGGCTTTTTGCATCCCGTGTGGTAGATCCAAACGGGGGTGGGTGACCTCAAAGATTCTGTTTTAAAAAGAATTATTTACTTGAAAGGCAGAATAATAGAGAAAGGGAGCGGAAGGAAGAAAAAGGGGTCTTCCTTTTTGTTGATTCGTGCTAATACTCCAAGATGTAGCTCAAAGTACGGAGGAACAACGCCGACCTTTTAGTTTAACCACCTTCACTGGCGTTATGCTAGAGGCAATCAGCATTCCACAAGAGAATGACTTCTAATACTAAGATATCAGCTTTGTGATTAAACAACGGAAAACAACAGGTGACTCAGTCAGCTCCCAGTTGCTTTCTGGTCCTGGAGCAGTGAATGTTGCGCGTCCAGTTGCTGCTTTGTGAGGGTTACAGGATCCGCAGATAAACTACTGAAGCAGTGGGAGTTTCATTAGCATGTCAATTGACACGAGGAATTTGAGCTGTTGTCACTTTCCTTGTTTCACAATTTAGCTTCTCCTTGTTTTTCTTTTTTTTTAAGGCTTCTTTGTTTTTTATTTTAAAGGCAGATTTTACAGAGAGAAGGAGGGACAGAGAAAGATCTTCCATCTGCTGGTTCACTTCCCAAATGGCTGCAGCAGCCAGAGCTGGGCTGGTACAAAGCCAGGCGCCTCCTGCAAGTCTCCCATGCTGGTGCAGGGTCCCAAGACTTTGGGTCATCCTGTGCCGCTTTCAAAGAATATAAACAGAGCTGGATGGGAAGCGCAGCAGGTGCAACACTGATGCCCATATGGGATGCCGGTGCCACGGGCGGAAGCTTAGCCTGTTACACCACGGAGTTGGCCCTCACATATTTCTTTAAATCCTGAGCATCTTCATAATAGTTACAGTCACTCTTTTAAATAAATTGCTAAGTCGCCGAGTCACCTTTGGTAGGCAACTTGCCCAGCGCCTAGGACTGCCATGCCATTTGCATTGACTCAGGGACTGGAGCGAATCCCAGACCAGCTGGGCTACCTGGTGCTGAGCAAAGGTGCAATACTGGGGTCGTCCGGGAACCTCGAGGACGATGAGCAGGTAGCCAGTGGCATCTCCGAGCTGGTCAGCATGGCCTGTGGTTTCCGGCTGCACCAGAGCATGAACGTCCCCTTCAAGCGTTTGTCTGTGGTCTTTCGAGAACACACGCTGCTGGTGTTGGGACAGAGGGTGTTTGTGGTGAAGAGGCTGAACCGAGCCCGGGGAGCCCATTGCCGTCTGAGCCCGCCCAGGCGTGAGGGGCCAAGCAATGGATGGGGGTGAGCGACCGGGACTCGACCGAGTCCTCCGCCAACCTCTTGACTCGGTGCCAGAACCAAGGTCTTTTGCTCAGCCACCTCCCCACGCCTACCTGGAAAGGCAACAGACCTGAGACTGCGCAGTTTCGGAGGCTCCAAGCAATGGGGTCTCCTCCATTGTCTTTCCCTCCCTTTCAATAAACTTGAGTTTCCTGTTAAAATAAATAAATAACTACACTGCTAATTTCATTATCTCTGTCATTTCTGGGCTTCATTTCTGCTGACTGATTTTTCTCCTGGTGTGGGTTTTATTCTTCTGTTTCTTCATATGGTTAACTTTGAATGGTGTACATTTTTACATTGTTGCCTGACTGGGTGGAAAGAGGTCTGGGTTTTGTTCTGGCAAATAGAAAGATTACCTGTGGATCATCAAAAGTCTCTCTGAGGTACATTTAAAAAAATATATTTATTTATTTTTATTGTAAAGTCAGATATAGAGAGAGAGGAGGAGAGACAGAGAGGAAGATCTTCCGTCACTCCCCAAGTGACCACAACGACCGGAGCTATGCTGATCCAAAGCCAGGAGCTCTTCCGGGCCTCCCACATGGGTGCAGGGTCCCAAGGCTTTGGGCCGTCCTCCACTGCTTTCCCAGGCCACAAGCAGGGAGCTGGATGGGAAGTGGGGCCACCGAGATTAGAACTAGTACCCATCTGGGATTCTGGCACGTTCAAGATGAAGAGTTTAGCCAGTAGGCCACCATGCTGAACCTTGAGGTACATTTTTTTTTTAAAGATTTATTTTATTTTTATTGGAAAGGCGGATATACAGAGAGGAGAGACAGAGAGGAAGATCTTCCGTCCGATGAGTCACTCCCCAAGTGACCGCAACGGCCGATGCTATGCTGATCCGAAGCCAGGAGCCTCTTCCAGGTCTCCCACGCGGGTGCAGGATTCCAAAGCTTTGGGCCGTCCTCGACTGCTTTCCCAGGCCACAGGCAGGGAGCTGGATGGGAAGAGGGGCCGCCGGGATTAGAACCGGCGCCCATATGGGATCCCGGGCATGCAAGGCGAGGACCTTAACCACTTACGCCACTGCGCCAGGCCCAAGGTACATTTTTTAAAAGGTTTATTTATTTGTATTGGTTTACAGAGAGAAGGACAGACAGAAAGATCTTTTAACCATTGGTTCACTCCCTAAGTTGTTACAATGTCTGGAGTTGAGCCAATCCAAAGCCAGGAACCAGGAGCTTTTTCCAGGTCTCCCATGCAGGTGCAGAGTCCCAAGGATTTGAGTCAACCTCCACTACTTTCTCAGGTCAAAAGAAGGGAGCTGGAGGGGAAGCAGGGCCTCTGGGACATGAACCAGTGCCCTTATGGGATGCTGGTGTGTGCAAGGTTAGGATTAGCTACTGGACTACCACACTGGGCCCTGTTTTAAGTTTCTTAAAGTGTGAATATATATTACTTTATTTCAAGATATTCATTCTCAACAGAAATAATACTGACTGGACTTACTAGGAGGGGAGGGACATGTTGTGGTACAACAGGTTAAGTTGCTGCTTGGGCTGTCTACATCCCATCTCAGACAGGGTACCAGGAGTCTACTTCTAGTGCAGTGTTCGGAAAGACAGTGGATGGTGGCCCAAGTACCTGATCCCTGCCACCCATACACCCACCTGGGAGACCAAACATGTCAGAACAGAGACATATAACTCTCAAACCTTTTGCGACTTCCAACCTCTCTTCAACATACTTTAACCTGGAGATATTTTACAAAACAAGCACACATAGGTTCATCTCATGCTTTAGGTTTGGACCACTCTATCAGATTACTTTGTTAAACCTTAAATGGGTTATCTTACCCCGCCTCTCTCAGCTAAGGGGTTGGGTAAAGAAGCAGGAGATGCATGCCTGAAAAGCACTCAATAAGAGCAAAGGTAAAAGTGCCATAATCTTTCACTGCTTGCTTAATTTTTTTTAGATATTTAAACTGCAGAGGTTGATGTTTGTGGTGTGGTTGTCCACCACCTCGTGCAGGGGTTTCAATAACAGGGCAACATATTACACCCCTTTTGGGGAAATCTGAAGCCTCACTCTTATGGGGTTCTGCCGGAGACCAGCTCCAGCTGAGTTCAGAGTTCTAGAAGGGTGCGTGGAGTCGGCGATAAAGACACAGACACTGCCACTTGGTCCCTTCTTGCTTTATTGCTCAAGAAGAAGCTGTCCTTTTTATTTATTTAGACACATCATGAGCCTCTGCACAAACATTTGATTTTTTTATCTCTAACTTTAGAACTAAGCCAGCATGCACAGATGTTCAAATAAGTTTTACTGCATGGTCAACCAGGTGCTCTTAAAGAGAATTCTGTAAGTTACTATAATCAGTTTATTTAAAGCAAGCTGTTATTCATTAGTAGTAGTGGCCGTTATTTAGAAGTAGCCATTAGGTGACAGCCAGAACTCCAAGGCCAAGGCACAGATGATTACCTACTAATCAGTAAAACATTCCTACTACATTTTATTTTCACAACTTATCTATCACTTAGTGGGAGAAATACATCAAGAGGGGAAAAAACACAAAGATCTAAGACAAAAAGTTTCCAACATTAAATCCCCTACAACTGCAGGCTCTACAAGCTCATAAACAACCAAACAATCATCAAAAGTGTATCTCTATGATGTTAATAAAATTGCCCTGTATTTCTTCTAGTTAAAAAATTATGAAAGAGGCTAAAACAGCTATATTTTCAATGCTCCAAAAAAAAAAAAAAACCTGCAAAGAGAGACTAGCCTTTGAGATAACAAAACTATATTTACTGCCAATAGCAGTTTCAGCTCTCACTCCCATCACTTGCATTAATATTTAGGGTATTTATCAAGCCCTTTTCCAGAAGGTGTGTTACCTGTCTGGGCCAGATTCTGAAGCAGTGTTTAAGCACCCCATAAGGTGTCCAGGGATGGCATGGGCTTAATTGTGCTCCTGTGTGTGTAAATTGTCAAAGGGCCACTCACCAAAACATTATCAGTGACACTAACTCTCAAGCTCACATTGGTTGCAAAAACCACCTTACAGGGGCAAAAAACAATGCCTCAACAGATTACAGAATTCTTAGTGGAGTGCTCCCCGGGGAGCTGTTCTCTTCCTTCCCTTATGTCATCCACACCTACTGCATGGATCCCAGCAGGGTTCTATCACAGGCTCCTCTGCTAGTAACGAGGCGGGGGCAGAAGGAGCTGCTGCTTCTGAAGCATAAGGTGGAGGTGGGAGTGAGGCCTCTGGCGGAGTCCTTTTGCTCCTATTCTCATTTTTGCGAGCCTGACCTCCAGTCGCCGAATGTCTCGCTCCAAGATTTTTTGCTCATCTTCGTCAGCAGGCTCCTCTGAGGAGGATTCTTCACTGGGAGCAGCCGAGGCCTCACTCGAAGGGCGCACCACCTCCTCTTGGAGCCCCTCTAGGGCCAATTGGGCTTTTCTCAATTGTTCTTTTACTTTCACTTTATCAGTCAAGAGTGCATCATGAACAAGGCGCCACAATGAAAAGGTGGCAATTGGGAAAGTATCTGGCTCCTTTTCTAATTTAGACTGAAGGTCACTATGGACATGTTCCCACTCAGATATATTTAAACTCCCCGAGAGTACAAACCAGAGGCTACTTGCTTGAATTGCCTGAACAAACTTTTGTAAAGTTCTAGTCTTAACTTCTGTTCCTTGTTGATGCAGAAGTTCTTTAAGCTCAGTGACCAATTTATCCTGGGAGAAGGCAGAAGCCATTTTAACCTCCTTTTTGCAGGATAAAATAATCACCAAGACCTAACTATACTTCAGAACAAATTTCCCTTTCCTAACAGTCTAGGAAAGATTTACAATAAGTCCCACTTACCTTAATCAGCTCGCTAGCCTCCCGGGACAACCTTTCGTCGAATCCTCTCTTTCTCGGTCTCGGTGGGACCTCCAGATGCTGGCAACATCTGCATCGCCGTGTACCCCAAGCCAGCGGAGGGACTAGAGTTAAAATAATAATAATAATAATAATAATAATAATAAAATCACACACACACACACACTGGGTCATTCGTGTAAGAATGTCGTTTATTGGAAACTCGGGCTGTCTTAATACACCCTGCCTAGTTCCTCTTGGGGAGTTTTTCCCAGCTCTTTGGCCACTGTATGTCTTGTGTGCACCAGGGAGTTTATAGTTAGGTCAACATGAACCCATCGGTCATGCGGGGGGACTTCGTGCCCTGTTGATCGGCCCGCAGTTTCTCAAGCTTTCTCAAGCACAACCAGTATTAGAAAAAGCAAGATTAGTGCAGCAGGCATATCTGGTGAGGTTAACCCTTGGGGGGTTGGGCCCTGCACATACACCCATCTGGGAGATCAAGCTGGAGTTCTGGGCTCCTGATTTTGACCCTGACTGTGGCAGGTATTTTGGGGAGTAAGCCAGCAGATGGAAGAGCTCTCTTTGCCTTTCAAATGAAATAAAAATAAATTAATAAACTGTGAAAAAAAGATATACTTATTTTTATTGGAAAGGCAGATTTAACAGAGACAAGGAAAGACAGAAAGAAAGATCTTCCATCCACTGATTCACTCCCCAAGTGGCTGCAATGACTGGAATGAAGCCAGAATCCAGGAGCTTCTGCTGGGTCTTCCCAGGCATGTGTAGAGTCCCAAGGCTTTGGAACATCCTCCCCTGCTTTCCCCAAGCCACAAACAAGGAGCTGGATGGGAAGTGGAGCAGCCAGGAATATGAACTGGTACCCATGTGGTATCCTGGTGCCTGCAAAGTGAAGTTTTAGCCACTGAACTATCATGTTGGGCCCATCAATAAACTTTTTAAAGCTAAGAATTGGCAGCATTGTAGTGCACTGGGTCAGGCCATTGCTTACAACTGTGGTGTCCCATACAAGAGTTCTAGTTTGAATTCTGTCTGCTCTGCTTCTGATCCCATTTCCTGCTAATACACCTGGGAAGGCTGTGGAAGATGGCCCAAGTATTTGGGCTCCTGTCACCCAAGTGAGAGAC